TGGAGTTGGGGTGGGGGATGTGTGGGCAGGGGGGAGGTGGCAGTGGGCACCCCATGATGTTTTCAGTCACCGGGGATCAGCAGGCTGGGCACTGCCAGGGGACACATCAGGCGGGGAGCACAGGGGAGCAGCAGATGGGGCCTGTGATTGACCTGCCTCCTAACTTTGGTTTAGCCCAGCCCTGGGCCAGGAATATTCCTGGTGCTGGAGCACTATGGGCCCATATAACTCACTGCCTATATGCTGGGTGGGAGGGAAGGGAAATATTCAGCCCCACCAACCTGTGATGGAGTAAAAATCCCTTCCTGCCCCGTCAGAAAGTGGTGCTGGTTTGGCTATGCCAAGGCAGCTGTGTGGGTGTGAAGGCCAGTTTGGATGCTTCAGTCTTGGAGGGGGTAGCCGTGTTAGTCTGAATCCACAGAAACCAGGAGGCATCCTGTCGCACCTCAGGGTACGTCTATGCTGCAGGACAAAGTCGAATGAAGATACGCAGCTTCAGCTACGTTAATTGCGTAGCTGAAGTCAAAGTCGCTTAACTTGGCTTTTGGTGCTGTCTACACTGCAGGAAGTTGAAGGGGAGAATGTTTTCCCTTTGACTTCCCTTACTCCTGGGGAGAGCAGGACTGCCTGCATTAACCAGAGTGCCCCTCAGTTTGAATTAGCTGTCTTGACTAGACCTGTTAATTTGACCCCCAGAAGATTGTCAGCAGCAGTTTCCATCTTCCTGTCAAGTAGACGTACCCTTAAAAATATCAGATTTATCTGGGCAGAAGCTTTCACGTTAGGACAAAGTGGATCTTTGCCTAAATGTTTAAGCCTAAATCTGCTTATGCCCAAATCAATCCTTGTTTTAATTTGAATGCTTGGGGCACAGGGCTATCAATAAGAGGGTAACAGATACCTGAAACTAGCAAAGCACTTAGGACTTCTTAATTCCCTTTGCAGCTTTTAAATCATGCTGGAGGGACCCCCCGAAGGACAAACCCGGGTCATGTGTTCACCCCTGCCCGATAAATCTTTTCTGGAGATAAATTCAGAAGGAGCGGATACATTTCCACCCCATCACTGTCCGTTTTATCCAGTGGCCCAAACCAGGGTAAGTCATTTAGCCTTTGACCTGATGGTGCCCTGAGATTCAGCCAAGAAATCCCTCTCTCCCCTCCCCCAGTTTAGAAGGATAAATATAGGCTTTTCCTTTGGGCTGAAAAGTGCATATTGATTAGTTCAGCCCCCAGCTAGGGAACATTTCAGCCACCCTATGTAAAGATTTGCAAGTGACAAGTCCGATCCTTCTGTCCATAGGCAAGCTGCACTCCCAGTTGGACTGAAGGCTTTGATCCAAAGGACATATTCCCATTGACTTCAAAGTGCTATAGCTCGGATCCAGAGCTTTTATAATGCAGCGGCAAGAGACATGTGGGACTCCTTATGCCTCCTTGTTGAAGATGCATCTCCGGGTAAGTCTGCACTACAGAGTTTTTCCAAAAAAACTTCAATTATGTCCACACTGCAATCGTGTTCTTTCAGAAGAAAATCAAAAGAACACAGAGTTTTTTCCCCGACATTGGTAATCCTCATTGTACAAGGAAGAAACCTTTCTGCAAAAGAGCTCTTTCAGAAAAAGCCATGTGTGGATGGGGAAGAGGGAGTTCTTTCAAAAAAAGAGGAAAGAGGAAAAAGCACAGGTGCCCTGGTGGCCACTCTGTCCATAGTAACCATAACTTAAATGCAAGATAGCATCCGTTCCATGTGGACACTGTCTTTCTAGATAACTAGAAGTTGCGCTTTGGCAGTGTGGACAACCTCTTCTGGAAAAGCTTCTTCTGAAAGAAGCCTGCAGTCTAGACATAGCTTCCACAGGTAGACACAGCTATAGCAAATTCAGAGAAGGAGAGACTGTGAAAGAACCAGAAATGCCACCCAACCGTCAAGAGGGCCAAGCTGATTAGGAAACATCTGCATCCAGATATCAGTCTATGACTCTCCATAGTTGCCTGGTTCAGGTCTGGAAGCTCAACAGGGACATATAGATCTCAACTTGGCGCTTGCCGGAATCTTTTCCAAATCTCATGGATCTGTACAACTGAGCCAGGCACTGACAATGTAAAGGTGAAGAAGGGCTGGAAGTGAAGTGGAAGAACAAAAAACAAAACAACAGCCTATTTTCCAAACTCAAAGTCTGGTGAAGTTGTTCCAGGAGTTATTTAATTGGATTCAGTTTCACTTTTAACCAAATTCTAAGAGACAGGGGTTCACCTGATTTTCATGGGAAGAAATCTGCACATTTAGGGTGTGTCTAGACTACATGCCTCCTTCGACGGAGGCATGTAGATTAGCCAGATCGGGAGAGGGAAATGAAGCCGCGAAGAGGGAAATGAAGCAG